ACACTGAATTTTTCAAATTTTAGTTTGAAAAAGTTCATCAGCTTGTTAAAAACAGCCTGCGGAAGACGTCAGCATGTTAAAGTAATTTAGATATTCATAGACTTTGAGAACTTAGCAAGACCTCAGACTTCACCTAATATCAACATGCTTTTTTCATAAATGGCAAACGCCTACCATTGTTAAACAATGTATTAAGGATGCAGTTAATTGTAGGGAAAGTTGGTACTACAGAAAAAGGACTCCAGGTTACTAAGCAGGCACTATTCAGCACTTTCTTGATAGGCATACAGTGTGACCCTCTACAAAGAACACTCAGCAAGATCAATGCAGGAATCCTCAATACAGGGTTGATTGATTGGTAAGGTGCCCTTGTAGAGATGACTACACCCAATTGAGCTCTTTATCTGCAATGCAGGGTTAACAGTAACTCATCCCAGAAAGGCTTACTTCAAAAATCAAATTGGAATTATAAAATTTCAAAGCTCTAACACTTCATGACTTCTATTTAAAAATCCTGTGACTTATAATGTTTCTACTAGGTCTGGCCTTCTTTCTCTTGGACCCTTAGGTTATTTTTGTTGTTGTTGTTAAGTGCCGTTCAGTCGATTCCGACCCATAGCGACCCTGTATAGGGTTTTCGAGCAGTAGCTGGCGAGCTTGAACCGCCGAACTTGTTGGGACTACTGAATCCTAGTATATGGATCTGATGTAGTTTCGAGTTCTTAACACCAAATACACCAGACTCTACTTGCTTCAGCTCCCTGGCATTCACTCTATTACACCCAGTATCAAAGAGTCAAGGATATGGGAGGAATTTCACACAACTGTATTCCCTGGGAGCCCTGGTGTGGCGCTAGACTGCAAAATCAGTTTGAATTGCAAAGGTCGGCGGTTCAAGCTAACAAGCCGCTCCTAGGAAACGCTATACAGGGTCGCTATTGGTCGGAACCAACCTGACGGCGTTTGACAACATATTCCCCTAGGAGTCCTGGTATGGCACTGTGGGATGGGATAAAGCATTGAACCACAAACAACATCGGGTGGTTCAAACTCACCAGCTGCTCTTTGGAAAACCCTATAGAGTCGCTAGGAGTCCGAACCCACTCGATGGCACTAGCACTTAATACTTCCCTAAAGCTCTTAGTACTCAGGGATCCTAGGAAGTCTTGATGCTAGGAGGCCTGCATTACTGGCACTTACCGCTCAGAAGCATTTGTAACAAAGCAGGCAGGGGTGGGGGGTGGAGGACGATGAGGAACTGATCATCAAAGTGGATGGACAGCAAAAAATAAATGTTAAACTGCAATAAAGTCCAGTTAAAATAAAGATGCCAAATTTTTCTCACCTGTGTGCACTCAGGTTTTTTGTTTCCGATTTATGTTTTTGCTAGCTTGTGGTGGTGTCAAGTTTTATGTTAATTTGAACATGTTACAGTGGGTTAAAAAAAAAACTTTTTTTCCCATGGATCTATTAAAAATAAACACTCCTTAAAGGAACTAATGCTTCAATAGAAAGTTGCTAACTAGTCTGTCTTCCCACTACTGTTTTGTTTTTTTTAAACTATAAGAGTTGGTATATTTATTTCAGGTATTTCAGTATATCCTTGGATACTTAACAGCAATTGTCCCATTAAGCATTCTATAGTTCTAATCAAACTACTTTAACCTTGTTGAATTATTTTAATCTTATTCATTTCACCTGGAATTTTCAAATGTTTATTTTTTTAAATTCAATTTTTATATCTTGTTCCTGTTTTGCTAAGAGTAACTTAAACATGATTTTTTTTGCCAGTAAATTCAGTCAATTCCATGTCCTATTCAAGTACAGTTATTTTCCTTTTACTGGTGCTCTTAATTTTATCCTAATTCTTCTATTTTTACAACCATCCCTCTGGAATCCTTGTTTTCTTCGAATTTCTGGCAACACTCACGCTGTAAATTAAACATTAGCCATGCAATGTTTTACTCTTGTAAACCATTTCTCCCAATATCTCCACTTTTTAAATAATGGTATATTCAATGACAAGAAATGTGAGAAATTAAGGCAAATTTCTGAGTCCTAGGGTGCTTTATTAATCTGAGATTCTTAGCCCTACTTGATAATCATGTAACATCTGAGTTGCACTGCAATTGATGATAAGCTTGTTAGGCACCGAGTCCTGATGTGGCCACTGCAGGCTAATGCGTCAGACTGCAAAGTTGTTTTGACTGCAAGGTTGGTGGTTCAAGCTCACCAGCTCCTCCTTGGAAACTCTATACAGGGTTGCTGTGGGTCAGAATCGACTCAACGACAGCAACTTAACAGATCCCTCATGGATTTCTTGCTGTTTAGGGCAAAAGGCTCTTAAAGAAAACCTGCTGGAGTTTGAGACAGAAAGAGGGACAAGAAGCTGTCTAGGTCTTCATGTTTAGATTTGGAACCTAAAAGTTACAAAGGCAGGAAGGAGCAGGCACTCCAACCAGCTTAACTTGTTGCTTTCACAGGGAGCAAGAATCAAGAGTAAGAGTTGCAGCTCTGCAGTTCCACCCCAGTAAGGGAGGAAAGGAGTGGGAACTGGGTTCAAGAGGCACTCAATACGTTTGTCATTCCCCCAGATTTCAAAAGGCAAGTAGCCTTTAAATGATCACTTCATCTTGTTAAGTGCCGCAAGTTGGTTTCGACTCATAGCAATCCTGTATAGTGTTTCCGAGGAGCAGTTGGTGAGTTTGAACTGCCAACCTTGTGGTTCAAACAGGCCTTGAGGTCAACTGCTTAAAGATAGGGAAAAGTGCACATTCTACTTAAAGAAGCTTGTGCTGCCTCTGTGGTACTGTTTCAAAAAGCAAAATAAAGCACAGAGATGTTCCCTGTGTAACATGAAGCTAGGGTGAGGCTTTGTGAAACTGTAAACATCTCTCTACCCACTGCCATGGAGTTGATTTCAACTTCTGTGAACCTTATATAGGGTTTCTGAGATTATAAATCTTTATGGGATCACACAACTTCATCTTTCTCCTATAGTACAAGGCTTGAACTGCCAACCTTGTGCTTACAAGCTTAATGCCTAACCCACAGCACTACCAGGGCTCTTTATAAACATGTTATGTAAAAGGAGAGATCATGTTTAAAGTTTATGTTATTTGCTAACTAATTTTTGGCTGTACGTGTTAGACATTAACCATCACTACCCCCTTCCTACTGGAATAGGTATTCCTTTCTACAAAGCAACATAGTAACTTGTCAAGGGTAGACAACTTTAGAAAGAGCCCCATTCTTTAGATATGTGATATCATGTATGCAGAGTAGAACTGTTCCATAGAATTTTCAAGGTTGTAACCTTTTGGAAGCAGATCACCAGTCCTGTCTTCTAAGGCACCTCTGGGTGACATCTCTAGGTGGGTTCAGACTCATAACCTTTTGGTTAGTAGTGAAGTGCTTATTAATTTGTGCAACCAGAGGGACTTCGTAAGTAATATACGTACTATATTTCAAGTTGTATTTCAGATTTAATTACTAGATAAACCATTGTATCCAAGCCTAAGATGAATCACTTTTCCTGCTTTGTGGTTTTAAAAACAGCTCCCTGACTTCCCCCTTGCTTTGCTTCCCATTATTTTGTTTTAAATCTGCACTGGCTCTTTTGGTATTACTATTCTTACCTATCTCCACTCATCCCCACAAATCTCTGAGCACTCACTTGCTGGATATGTCTCTTTCAAATAAATCTGTGTTAGTCAATGTCTCTCAACTCCCTTGGAAATTTGTTTTGTTATGTAAACTGCATGCAAAAAAATATTTGTATATTTTAAAAATCTGATGTAAACCAAAAATACAATGTTGTTAAATTACTGTTCACAATAAAAAAAATTATGTTTTTTAATAAAGGGGTTATTTAAAATCCCTTTAATCATGAGATGGGAATTACATTGAAAGTAACTATATTCACATTAAAAGGCATTTTCTTCAGTGGATTTTACTGGTTGGTCAGTTTTGCCAGTGATTTAATTCACATGTAATTCATGTAGACCCTGTGTTAGCAACAACTAACAGTAACACTACTTTGACAAAGCTGTTATATTCTCTGTCGTTATTTTATGTTCCTCAAAGTTTCTAGTCCTTTAAAGAAAGAAAGAAAAAGCATGGTGATAAACTGTAATTTGCCACAACACATTTTTTCCAAATCTTAGAAAATATAAAAGACAAGAAATTTTTTTGCGCACTGCACTTTTATAGAACAACCAGATTTAGAATTGATTTATTTTATTAGATTTATCAGTATACATGGCAACTTTCTCAAATCTCAAAGTAAGTTCCAAAAGTATGTACTTTTCAAGATGAAAAACTCATTTTCCTTTAGATGTAATATTCCTAGAGATATTAAAGTCTATTTATAAACAATCATTGATAAACTAATACACTTTAGAAATCAGAATATTTTAAATTAAAATACTTTAAATGAATACAAGATATGTTTTTTTTTTATTAACTATCATAGTTAAATTTAATATCACAAAACAAAATGACTCATCCCCACTCATTTCTCAAGTGGGGTAAAGTCATTGGGTTTTACACTTAATATAAGTTTTAAATGTGATTATTAAATGATAATATTTTATCAATTATAGGAAATATTTAGTTATAGGCATTTCCTTAGGTCCATCAAGCTCTTTAGGCCAAGTGTAGGCCCATGTCAATCTTCAAGGTTAGACTCAGTGCACCTAACCTGCTTCGTAGGCCTGTCAATTTAAGAATCTGAATTTCATTGACAATAAGGGGAATAAAGAGTGCCCAAGTCACTGCTGAACTGACAAAAACCAAAATTAAAAATAAGTGGAATCATTTCAAATAACTAATACTCTCAAAATTCATTTTAATTTAACTAGTGTTGGGTTTAAATTTCACAAAATAGCCTTAAAAAACAATAACAACAAAAACCCCACATAGAAATAGTGAAGTCATCACCTTATAGATAAAAAAACTAAAGTTTAATAGTCATTGAAGGGGTAAAATCACTTGTAGTCTACATTTAAAAGTAATTCTAATCATAGCTAAGACAAACTAAAAACAAAGAATTCTACTAAAAACAAAAAAATTAAACATTTAGTAACTCCTAAAATATACTTAAAGATCCTAAACAAAAAAATATTAAAGGAAAAGGGCCTTGAGAATTTTCCCCAGTGACTTATATTATAAAATCAATTTCTAAATAGCTTTGGTTTCTGTCTGCTATCAACTAAACATTAGTACAGTAGAAAATCACTTATGGTCTTTTCAAATGCTTGGCATTATAATGTGATCTCATATCTTTCCTCAAATTAAATTTTGCTCCACATATTCCACATGTATACAGATGAACATCCATGTGCTGCTCCAACTGTTCATTATTGGGGAATATCTGAAAGCAGACCTGGCATATAGTCTCACCAGCAGATAAATGAGAAATCATATGCCGTACATGGTCATGTTTTCTGAAGTTTCCTTGATCACAAATGGAACAGACATACCTGGCCATGCCTTTGTGCATATCATTGTGCAGTCGTAACTGACGTTCTCTTAAAAACTGCTTTCCACATGTCTGACAGACAAACTGTTTTTCCTTAGTATGAACAGTATAGTGTTCTCTTAAATGACACCGCTGATAAAATCCTTTTCCACAGAGATTACAAAAATGCTTTCGTCTGTGATCTCTCTCATTTTCTTCCATGATGGCACTCTTAAACATATCTTGGTCTAGGCAGGTAGACATATGTTCAACCACTAGATTTTCCGTTTCAAATCTCTGGCCACAATTAGGACATCGAAAAGGACAGGCAGAATGTTTAAACAACTGCTTTTTTTGGATACTGTTGATCTGGAAATGATTGTCCCTGAAATCATCCAACATTTCCACAAACATCTCTCTTATTTCAGACTGCTCATCAGGATTCTCTTCCATGTCCATCTTCTCCTCAGCACTCCCTAACCCATTCATTGTCAGATCTTGGGGTTCTCCACATCTCTGAGCATGTTCCTGAAGTTGTCTACCCTTGACAAGTATCTGCCCACATTTACCACATGCACAGATGTTTTCAATGTGTTTGGCTAAGTAATGAGATGACAGGTCCTCCTCAGTTATTGTGAGCCCACAGAGCTCACAGGATGCATTTTCAGTGTCCTCTTGTACTGGGCTGCTATTGTTAGGGGGCCTCATATTGTCTAGAGCACCTCTTTCATCGGCATTTATTGACATCCGAGGCTTTAGAGTTTTCCTGCCACTTTTTTTAATACTGACATCTTCTTCGACGTAATATCTATAAAACGGCTCTTCCGGTTCATCTTCTAACTCATCATTGTCTGTGGATTCATTACAGTCTTTATCCGTAACCTTAATAATGTTAAAGTCTTTCAGTTCATCTGTAGGAATATCTTCTGGCTCCATCTTGATAATGATTCTTTTTCTCTCAGCAGCTCTACTCTTTTCTTCACTTGCAATTTCAGATTCCACTGTGCTACTTTTCCTGCTTCCGGTGGTTGAAGCTGAATCATCAGTAGCAGCCTGGCTTGTGTCTCCTCTGTACTTGTCGGTCTGTGCAGAAAATGTTTTAGAAGAATCCTTCTCACCAAATTCAGCTTTGATGTTACTGTCTTTTCCATCTCGAATATCTACTATTCGGTGATAAGATCTTGCGTTTTGGTATGAGTGCCGGTTAGTACAGGTTAGCACGTGTTCATCTAATAATTTTTCACAGCTAAAGCCAAATCCACAGCTATCACAGGTAAAGCTCCGTCCAAAGCGCCGTGACACACGTTCTTTTGGAGTAGATAATTTGGACACAGAACTTTTTTTACATACATCAAAAAGAGGTTCAGGAAAATTACCCAACTGCAAAGACTCTTCGTCAGGCTCTCTATTATGTGGTGTATTCACTGTTGAACTTGGCTCTGCACACCACCTGTTGGCTTCATTACCATTTCTTGTCGCAGTGTCTTCATACATTCTGACCCCAAATATCATTTTGCTGTTCTGTTTGCTGGAGGCAGAAGATGAACATTTTGAACTAGAACAATCCGTATCTTGTATGTCTTCTAAGCAGTCAGGAACATTGTATAGCTGTAGGTAATTCATTGCCACTTTAAACTGCTCAAAACTGGAAGGAGCGGTCATTATTTTCCCTAGATACATAAATTGCAAAATGAGATCAAAACACTCGGCACTAATTTTCATGTTGCTGAGATTCAGTTGTGCAGTACTATGCTGATGGTTCATGAAAAACATTCTAAAATAGGAGCTACAGGCCGCCAGAACTGCTTTGTGCGCTTGAAAGTAAATGTCATCAATTGCAATGCAACAGTCACAGAGGAAACCCCATTCCCTTTGGTTGTTTAGCTGCTGAAGAACGTAGCTGCTGTGGCTTGGCTTTGCCATCTTCTATTAATTAGATACCTCTGTAAAACAGAAATAGTAAAGTCAGCCAAGAGCAGAAAAGCCTTTAAAAAACTTTTTCATCATGATGTGTAATGTGTGTGACTTTGCTATTATAATCAAGGTATGACTAGCTCCCACTTTAATATAACAAAACAGTGATAAATACCTGAGCCATTTTTAAACTTGAGGATGAAAATTTGTTCAGGAGTCTCATATTAATTTTATTTAATGATTAGGAAATACAAGCAAAGGCATCAAAATCAAAACTCACCATTTTAGTTTTATTATAATTTTATTGTGCAAGTGTACACTGAATTTAAAGGAGAAGTCATTGGTTTTAAAGTAATGTGAAAAACACAATGAATTAAATCTAAAAATAACTTAAACATTAATAACTACATTGTTATTTTAAATCTTCTTAGATGACTGTTATTAGGAATTACTGTTCATTTTTTTTAAGTTGGATGTGGCTTATTTTTGTTGTGTTTTTAAAAAGTCTTTATCCTTATCATGACTAATGGCAACTGTCACAACTGTAAAGGTAGAAGTTTTGTAACAAAATCAGGGGGGTAGTTAATCTTAACGTTCAGAAACAGAGGATCCTAGGACCATCAAGGGAGAAGAGCACAAGCAAGTGTCTGACCTTATCCAGAGAAGCAGCGACATCAGAGATGGAGGCAGAGATGAGGACATGGACAGAGGGAATAGCTGAGGACTCTAGACTCATGGGAAGAGAAATGCTGTGTGCTGGCGGCCAGGAAGCAGGCTCGCAGAATGTGCCCTTTGGTTGATTAAATGATTATATATTTCTGAGTGTTTCTGTGTACACTCCCCGCCCCAAAAGAAGAAACTAAAAAGAGAGGGAATGGAAGCAAATACTGTTGAATGACGATGCATGGAAGAGATTGTAATCATTGCAATGAAACAATGGTGTAAAGCTGATGTTCTCCCATGTACACTATCATTCAGTTCACAATAAAAACTTTAAAAAGGCTGTATCTTCAAGATATCATTTATATATTGTAGTATTCACAGATGGAATTACATATCTGAAATTTAGTTCCAAATAATTCAGTGGGGTGGGTGTAATGAAGTATTGGGAATGTTATAAAAGGAAACAAAATTGGTCATGAGTTGGGAGACAGGTATAATTCTATTTGAAATGTAGCTTGTATAGATTTCAAACTCTTCATAGAAAAAACCCATTCAAAAGATTGATTTATATGGATGTGCTATAAAACAAATACCTTCAATCAATGTTTTTCTCGTAAGAGAATTATTGACACATTATTGAATTATTAGAGAAGCAATTCTTCTATAGAATCAGAATATACAAGTATTTCTTCTATTGCTTGGAATACACTTTAGGGTATATAGAAAGAAGCAGTAGATACGAAGGATTTATTTGGGAAGGAAGTACTATCTTTAGGTCTTAAAGTAAAATTTTCTTACACTTTCGTAATCATTAAAAAAGTATACAAAAACAACATGCTCATTATAAACAATTCAAACACAGAACTATATAGAATAAAAACAAAACATCTCAGATTGCAAACCCCTCCCCAGAAGTAACATCCCTGGACATTTTGGACTATGTATTTTCAGATCTACTTATGTGACATATATACATATTCAACAGTTATTAAGTAAGCACTGTGTGCCAGGTAGAGTTCTGGTGTGGCGCTGTGGGTTAATGCATTGGACTGCAAGGTCGGTTTAAACCGCATGGTAGGCGGTTCAAGCTCACCAGCTGCTCCTCAGAAACCCCATACAGGTTCACACGGCACTTAACAACAATAACATGGGCCAAGTACATTGTTTGTTTCGTTGTATTTTTATTTGCCTAAATGGAATTATACTACATATACATTTCTACAAGTAGTTTTCTATGCAGAACAATATATGGTGGTATGCTGTGGAGAAGCACTGAACTGCTAGCCAAAAGGTCATCTGTTCAAACCCACTGAACATTCTGCTCCCATCTCTGTGATGTGGAATCAACTCGATGACAGCAGTATTTTTAATATTGAGAGCTCACTTTGATCAAACAAGAAAAAATAGTGCCAGAAGTCCTATCTATTACATTACAAAGCTAAAATACAATCCTACTTTAGCTTCAATTTTGGATCTGTATATGTAAAGCTTAGGAGCTCTGGTAGCATAGTGGTTACGAATCGGGCTGCGAACCTTAAGGTCAGCGGTTCGAAACTACCAGGTGCTCCGCAGGGAGAAAGATGAGGAACCAACTCATCAACACCTAACAACACACAGAACAACA